ATCTGTTAGGTTGTTTATCTCCATTTCGTTTAGTTCTTTTCCTGGAGTTTTGTTCTGTTCTTTCATTTGGGACCTGTTTCTTTGTCTCCTCATTTTGGCTGCCTCCCTGTTTGTTTCTATGTATTACTTAATGAGAGGTATGGGGCTATCTGAGACCAGATGCTTCTTGTTTGAAAGAATTTAGGAAAACCTGAAGCAGGATCCAAGACAGGCCAATCCTATGGTTAAGCAACTGGCAACAGCTTGGGTGGGCCTGAAAGTTGGGTGGGGCAAGACCTCAGGGAATCACCAGGGTGGGGCAAACAGTGTGAGCCAGGTTGCTGGAGTCCCAGATATGGCAGCTGTCTGACACCCCAGGGATGGACTCACCAAAGGAACAAAGGCCTCTGACAGCATGTCTGTCCAGGAGAAAGTCCCCTCTCCAGCCCTTGCTCCAATGCCAAACAGCTCAGTTCTTCCCTGTATGTCTCTGGCGCCCCTCAAGTTGCTTCCCCTCTGAGCTTAGAGAGAGCAAGTCCGAGTAAGTCTGTGTGCGGGCCCTTTAAGAGGAGCTGCCTGGGGCTCCAGCCACCTCAGCCTCCCTGAGCCTCAGTTCCCACTGTTTTTTGCAGCCAGAAGTTATGGGGATTCTCTTCCTGGCCCTGGAACCCTAAGCTGGGCACCTGGTGTGGGGTGGGGACCCTTCAGTCCTCAGGGAGGACCTTTCCAGCCGAGGTGTCCTCCTGATTTTTATCTGCCACACGTGAGTGTGGGACCAGCCCGTCCGCCTCCGCCCCTCCTACCAGTCTGGATGTGGCTGCTGCTTTAATTCCATAGTCATAGGACTTCCATTCAGTGCGGTTTCAGGCGGCTTTGAATGATGGTTGTTCTGTAGTTTAGCTGTAACTTTGATGTGGTTGTGGGAGGATGCGATACCACGTTTACCTTCCCGCCGTCTTGACCGGAAGTCTGCTTTTTCTTCTTTGGGGGTTTTTCACTTGTGTCCTCACTCCTCTGGCATACTGCTGTATTAGGAAAGTACTCCCTTCTTGAAATCTGAGTATAACACCCAACTATTAAATATTGTTGCATGTACCTAACACTGAGTTTTGAAGCTAGGTTCGTATAAAGGTGAACTGATTCCTCAAAACTATCACTAATGATCAACAGCTGGAAAAGACACATAGCCAAGAAGATTCTCTGGTGTGGAAGCCCTGGGATTGATGAGATAGAATAATTCAAGAAATGGGCAGCTGTAACTCCTCGTCATGTATATCTTCTCCACCATGGAGGAAAAGCACACCAAAGTTTCCAACCAGGATGTTAAGCTTGCCCAGTCGGTCATCACTGAAGAGGTGGCATGGCCCCCAGGATTATTGCCCTACGATGTGCACCTCTGCCCTCCTGGCCTTATGGTCTCCCTCTCAACTCTGGCCAAGTTCACTCCTCCTCTGTGCTTTGCAGCTCTGAATGCCCTGCTGTCGAAACAAGCTCAGGCTGTGAGCACACGTGACCTGGGTTCTGAGATGCTGTCCTCTCTCCCCTGGATATTCCCATGATGCTCTCCTCTCTGTCTTCCTTGGAGAGTTCACCATTCCCACATCCTCCTTCACTCCCTCCTACAGGGAATTCGAAAATCAACTTTCCGAAAGCCTGCTTGACCACTCCCAGGACCCAACAGTCCTTCAATGTCTCAGACACCTCTTCCCCTTCTCCTGCCTCAGTCATTTCTGCTGACAGTACCCCCATCAGGCTAGCTTCCCAGACTCCACTGCATCTCCCACTCTCCCCACTCGCCCCCCAATCCTGTTACGCAGCTGTGGACAGGTGTCAGCACTAGAGCCACTTGCCTAAACAAACAACACTGTCTACGGCCACCTGACTGCTTTCCGGGAGACAGAGTGAAGGCCGTTGGTCATAATGGCAGAAGAATTAGTGAAGACTATCCAGCAGAAATTCATGAGTATTTGTGAACATTTGAGAATTTTATTGGTACTGTAGATGACATGGTGAAGACCATGATGTCTGTTTCGAGAAATGAGTTCTTGCAGCTCTGGCCGAGTGGCTCAGTTGGTTGGAGCATCATCCCGTACACCAAAAGGTGGTGGGTTTAGTTTCCTGTCAGGGCACATACCTAGGTTGTGGGTTCGATCCCCAGATGGGGTGCATGTAGGAGGCAACCAATCGATGTTCCTCTCTCTCATATTGGTGTTTCTATCTCTCCCTCTCCTTTCCTCCTTAAAAAAAAAAAATCAATCAATAAAAACATTTTAAAAAATTCTCAGGTGAAGAATTTAAATAAATGAAAATGAATTGTTGCCCTGGCCGGTTTGGCTCAGCGGTAGAGCATTGGCCCGCGAACCAATGAGCGATGCTCTCCTCTCCTCTCGGGTTCGATTCCAGTCAAGGGACATACCTAGGTTTCGATTTGTCCCTGGCCCTGGTCGGGGTTGTACGGGAGGCACCCAGTCGATGTGCCTCTCTCACGTTGATATTTCTCTCTCTCTCCCTTTCTCTCCCTCTTTCTCTACCTGAGGATAAAAAAAAAGAATTGTTGCAGAAGTTGAACCCACTTGAACAAGCAAAAGCAGATTCAGTGTCTGCTTATACATTAAATTTCATGTTTGGGGTTTATTTGGCAACTCAAAGACTTAATCCTAAGGAGCATCCTGGAAAGCAGGAATTGGAAAGAATCAGAGTACACATGAACAGAGGGAAGGAGATAACAGACAAGAAAAATGCTTCGGAGCTGGACAGAGGTGCAGCTTCAAGATTTGTAAAAAATGACCTCTGGCCTTGGCCAGTTTGGCTCAGTGGTTGGAGTGTCAGCCCACAGACTAATGAGTCTCGGGTTCGATTCCGGTCAAGGGTACTTACCTCGGTTGCAGTTCATCCCTGGTCCTGGTGAGGTCGTGCAGGAGGCAGCCAGTCTCTCTCTCTCTCTCTCTCTCTCTCTCTCTCTCTCTCTCTCTCTCTCTCTCTCTCCTTCCCTCTCATTCTATCTGATGATAAATAGAAAAAATATCCTTGGGTGAGGATTTAAAAAAAAAATGACCTCTGAGAACCAAAATCTAAAAATGTGCCAAAAGTTGCCAATAAAAGAAAAAGTAAAAAAATAACCTATTGGTTTTGATGTACACATGTGCAAAAAGTACATCATTTTCACTGTTTCACACAAAATAGATGATGATTATGGGGCAATGTGTGGTTTAAATGTATTCCTTATTGAATTCATACATAAAATTTACATTTAAATCTGCAATGTTATATACATTCCCCCCAGAAAGATTACATTATCTTTGTTAATTTTCCTACAGAGCACTGTGAGGTCTTCAACACTGGTATAAATATATTTATAGTTTACTATCTCTCTTGACAAGGCTCATTTACTTATATAGGTCAACCTTTCAAGTGCCATTTTTAAAAAAATGTTTTATTTATAGACAGAGGAAGGGAGAGAGAGATAGAAACATCGATGTGAGAGAGAAACACCAATCCACTGCCTCCTGCCCACCCCTCACTGGGGACGGAGCCCGAAACCTGGGCATGTGCCCTGACCAGGAATCAAACTGGGACCTCTCAGTCCATGGAAGGACGCTCCATCCACTGAGCCACACCAGCCAGGCTCAAGTGCCATTTTATCAGCAATTATGAAATTTAAGTTAAACATTGGTCTATTTTTCCCCAAATTTTTATTAATTTATTTTTGTTACAGATGTTTCTCCTTTTTTCCTCTGGACACTCTCCTCCCCATCCCGCCCCCCAACCCCCAGCATTATTGTCTATTTTAAATGAATAATGACTTTATGAAGTATGCTTTCTGAATGCTTTGGTTATAAATACATCTGTTTTCACTATATACAAGAAAAAGTGAAATGACTTAAATGTCCATTTTATTTTCTGTGTAGTTACTTCATCATGTTTTCATGATTTTTGGAATTGCTTCTTTTGATATTTAAAGTGTGAATTTAAGACTTTAAGGTTATACTTTAATTTTTGGCCCTTTGCCTCTATGTCCTAGTTAAAGTGAAATACATTCTCATTAATTGTGGATGGGAAATGAGATTGTATATGGATGGCTGAATTTTGGAATAATGGTTATATCCTATCAATAAAGGCTGTAAATGTTACATAAAACAAACAAACAAACAAAAACCTGCACTGTTTAATGTTTGACTATTTAAATTTAAATGAATTAAATACAACTCAAAGTTCAGTTCTTCAGTCACGCCCATCACATTTTATGTGCTTGATAGCCACGTGTGAACTGAATCTACCCTACTGGCCAGTGCAGTTTTAGGGCTTTCCACCCCTGAAAGCCTCTTACAAACAACTCCTTATGCCACTTTGGTTCAATATTTATTTTCTAGGAATGTTGGGTGGGACAAAAAATTTCTACCAGGTGTGGCTCTGTACAAGTCGGACCACACGCAGCTCCCTCAGCCACCACACTGGGGCCAGGTCCTGACGTCTCCATTTCTGTAGAGGTTGCTCTTTCATAGCCCAGTACTGCCAGAGGCATCTTCACAATTCCCTCCTGGGATCAGGCTGCACTGGTGAACTCCGACCACTCCGCATAATCCCAAATCTAATCCCTGCTCTGGGCTCCCACACCTCCACCCACACCCCAGATGATTGACTCCTGCCCCCATGCGAGCCCAGCACAGACCCATGTTTTGTCTTTCCTCGTGTGTATGCCATCATGGCTGATTCGAGTGTCACCTGCCCCAGCATCCTGGGCCCCATAGGCCTAGGTCTTCTAGGCTCTCTTCAAAGTGAGAGCCCTGCTCCTGGCAAAGTCTTTGAGAACTGCTTATAGGAGGCTTTTGGGTGCATATCTGAGCTTTGAAAACCTTCAGGTGCTCAAACCGCTCCCACCAGTCCTGCTGAAATCATCCAGAGAAATCGCCCACCAGAGGGTGGTTTCCAGGAAGCTGACAGAGGAGTCCCAGGCTCATTAAACACTGCATGGTTTTTTGTTTGTTTGTTTTGTCATCTATGTTTTAAAAATCCATACTCACTCTCCAAAGAGCACAGCCTTCTTCCCCAGTTGCTACTGGCTCAGACAGAAGATGAAAATGAGATTCTGAAATCACAAAAAAGAAAATGACAAAGCATTAAATCATATTAGGAAATATGAATTAAGTGTTAACAGCCAACAAACTGCTGGCTTTGCTGGAGACACAGAGCTCTCCTCCAAGGCACAGGCCAAGTACAAATATCCTGTGGCTTTATAGTCATCTCTGTTCAAGTCACCTCCCCCAGGTAAGCAACCTGCACAAAGGGCAGGGCAGGGCAGGGCAGGCAAGGGGGGAGCAAGGAGGAAATCGAAGGTATCTGAGGTGAGAGGACAAAGCCTGGAGGCGAGATGATCCCGGGCTGTCTGTGTGGTTGAGAAAGGCAGCATCAGGAACAGGGGTGGGGCGGACTCTGGGGGCTACAAATTAACTGAGACCCTCCAATAAAGACTAAAACTCTCCTTCTCCATCTGGGATTAGGGTTTACCTAAAAGTTGCACTAGAAAGAAATGAGAGGAAGGTAGCAACAATATGCAAACGAGAATAAATAATATTTCTAGAGTAACTTGGGAGAGGGAGCACACAGCTCCAACACAGGGCTAGGCGGAGCAGATACAATGGGCAGGGCACTGCAGCAGGAGGATGGAGCGAAGGGCAAGGGAAGGCTCATCCACAAACCCTGAGTTATTTCAGAATATGGTAGGCAGTTAGACACGAGCAGAGCAAGGAGGATGAGCCAGGCACAGAAGGTAACCAGGGCGGAGAGCCCAGGTGCCTAGCAATGGATAATTGTAGGGTAGGACCTCGTGTCCAGGATGACCTTTCCTCCCCTAGCATAGCACTGGTCACGTGGTTTAGACCCGACCTTTCCTCCCTAGGGATAACATCCAGGCCTCAGTTGTGTTTCAGCTCCAGGCTCTGAAAAGCCGCAAAACCAGATAAATGAAACAAGGGTTGACTTCAGGACCAGCTGCATTGGTCAATTACCCCTGCCCCGATTCTGACCAATCAGTAGAGAACACAACCCCGAAAGGAGACACCTGGAAGGCTGATGAATATTCAATTGAGATTCTATCCTGGGACCTCTCAGAAGATCTCCACCCTTAAAAGCTTTTAAGAGGAGGACCCAGTATGCTCTCCTTTCTGGGAGCATGCCCACATCCATCCCCCCACTCTCACCCCCTTACTATTATCTTCCTCACTTTCAAGTTCCAAGGGCCCTTCTTTCGCCTCTGTAACTTGTTTACTGACCCCAATTCTTCTACCACTCACTTCTTTCACCTCTGTAATTTTCAAAATAAACATTCTCTTATAGTTTGAGTCTTGGCTCTGAATTCTTCCGTAGCCAGAACTCAGGTGTGGAGGTCGATGAACCAAGGCCAGGTCTGACCCCGCCAGTCTAACTGCTGGTGCCTTTTCTGCCGCTGCCAACAAGAAGATCGAAGAGCCTGGCCGGTGTGTCTCAGTGGACTGAACGCTGTCCCATGAGCTGAGAGGTCCCGGTTCCATTCCTGGTCAGGGCACATGCCCGGGTTTCATGATCAATACCAGTATGGGGGTGTGCAGGAGGCAGCTGATTGATGTATCTCTCTCATCAGTGTTTCTATCTCTCTCTCCCTTCCTCTCTCTCTCTAAAAAACCAATAATAACATATTTTAAAAAAAGATGATCAAAGAGTTAAATGTAAAAAAGTAAAACTGTGGCCTAGCCGGTGTGACTCAGTGGTTGAGTGTCGACCCATGCCTCAAGAGGTCGCCAGTTCAATTCCAGGTCAGGGCACATGCCCAGGTTGTGGGCCTGATCTCCAGTGGGGGGCGTGCAGAGGTAGCCAATCAATGTTCTCTCTCACTGATGTTTCTATCTCTCTCTCCCGCTCCTTTCCTCTCTCAAATCGATAAAGATAAAAAAAATTTTTTTTAAAGTAAAACTGAAAGTTCTAGAAGAAAACTTTCTAAAAATATCTTCATGGGCAAAGGCTTTCTAAGTTATTATTATTATTTTTTTTATCCTCACCCGAAGACATTTTTTTCCATTTTTTGTCCAGATAGAGTGGGAGGGAGAGAGGGGGAGAGAGAGAAACATCAACGTGAAAGGGACACATCAAGTGGCCACCACCCACACAACCAACCAGGGCCGGGGACAAACCGAGGTACACGCCCCTAGTGGGAACCGAACCCGGGTCTCTGTGGACCGCAGCTCCAACCGCTGAGCCAAACCGGCCAGGGCTCTAAGTAAGTTATAAAACCAGAGGCCATAACAAAAAAAAGATTAATAAGTTGACAGCATAAAAATCTTTTAAATTTTTTTGAGAGAGAGGGAGGGAGAGAGAAAAATATTGATTTGTTATTCCACATATTTATGCATTCATGGTTGATTTAAAAAATTTTTTAATTGATTTTTAGAGAGAAGAAGGGAGAGTGAGAGAGATACATTGGTGTGAGAGCAAAACATTGATCGGCTGCCTCCTGCATGCCCCTTACTGGGGATCCAGCCCACAGCTTTGGCAAGTGCCCTGACTGGGGATCGAACCAGCAACCTTTTGGTGCATAGGATGACACTCAACCAACTGAGCCACACCAGCCAGGGCCATTGGTTGATTTTTGTATGTGCCCTGACTGGGGATCAAACCTGCAACCTTGGTGTATCAGGAAGATGCCCTAACCAACTGAGCTATGTGGCCAGGGCATAAAAAGGTTATTTATTTATTTATCCTCACCTGAGGATAAGTTTATTGATTTCAGAGAGAGAGAAAGGGAGAGAGGGAGAGAGAGAGAGAAACATTAATCGGTTGGTTACCTCCCGTATACTCCCCAACCGGGGATCGAACCTGCAACCTGGATATGTTTCCTGAACAGGAATGGAGCCAGCAACCTTTGGTGTATGGGATGACACTCAACCAAATGAGCCACCCAGCCAGGAAATAAAAATGTTTTTAAATGTCCACATGGAAATAGGTTAAACTTTGTCGATACATATCAGAGGCAACAGACTGATTTCCTTAATGTACAAGGGGTTCCTACAAATCAATATAGACATCAATAAAATCCAATTACAAAATGGGCAAGTGATCTGAATAATTTACCAGGGAGTAAATATGAATGACTCTTTAAAAAGATAAATAGATGCTCAATCACATTTATAGTAAGAGATATACAAGTTAAATCTATAAGGTAATGGTAATGTTTATCATACTGGCAAGGAACAAAAATTTAATAACACCATGTTAATAACACAGCTGAGGCTGTGGGAAAAGAGAGGCTCTCATACAATGTACCAACTTACATCCCCTTCAACAAATTCTACAGATGGCAATTTGGCAAAATCTGCGACAGTGTTATATGCCCATACCCTTGATCTAACAATCTCACTTCTAGGTATTTATGTTTATAACTAACTGAACATGCGTGAAATTATTTTTGCAAGGTCATTGGTTACAGTATCATTTATTACAGCAAAAGATTTGAAATAAGTTATATGCCCACTTACAGAAAACCTGTTAAGTAAATAATGGTATAACTTTATAAAAAAGTATAACGAGCCTGGCCAGTGTGGCTCAGTGGTTGAGCGTCTACCCACGCACCAAGAGGTCGTCAGTTCGATTCCCGGTCAGAACACATACCCAGGTTGTGGGCCAAATCCCCAGTGGGGGGCATGCAGAACGCGGCCAATCAATGATCTCTCTCATCGATGTTTCTATCTCTCTCTCCCTCTCCCTTCTTTCTCTAAAATCAATAAAGAAAAATAAATTTAAGACATATAATGAATAGCCATTAAATACAAATAAAAATAAACGTAAGCTATTAAAATAATAAGGCAGTTCTACTTGTCTCCATGGTTAATAATCTCCAAGGTGCATGTTAACTTAAAAAAGCAAGAAACAGAAGAGAGTGGGTGGAATAACACCTCTTGCATTGAGCAAGAGAGAAAAAGAAATATATACATTATGCTTAGATATGTAGGCAACGTGTCTAAACGGATCCACGAGACACTGGTAATCATGGCTGGCACTAGGAAGGGAAAACGAGGGGCAAAGGGCAGAGATAAGGAGCACTTTTCACTATTACCCTTTTGTACCTTTTGAACTGCTGTCATGTGCATGTATAAGCTTTTCCTATTTAACTAAAAAATAAACTCCTCAAATGAAATAGTCTATCCTATGTTGTTCAATATAGTAGCCAATAAGCCACACGTGGCAGTTTAAATTTAAATTGATCAAAATTAAATAAAATTTAAAATTCAGTTCTTCAGCTCCATGAGACACATTTCACGTGCTCAATGGCTACTACAATGGACGGTGACAACGTAGAACATTTTCATTATCACAAACATTTCTACTGGCTAGCTACAAAGGCCCACTAGAAAGAGCAACCAAACTTTGTTTCACATTAAGAGAAGAAATACAAACTGAATGCTGAAAACCCCTCTCTCTCTACACAAGCTAGATGTCCTGGCTGCCTACTAAGAAAACAAAGACTGGGCCCATGCCCTATGTGAGTGTCAAAGGTGAAGTCAGCGTGGCAAGGACTTTAGTCCCTAAGGGTCAAAGACCAGCACTCGAACATAGAAGATAAATATGTCCATTCAGGAACTACATGTGATCCATAAATCAGAAACTTGTATCTCCTTTGTGGTTCTGGGAGAGGTGTTGATAAGAGTATTAGCTCTGGCTCCCTTAGTACCAAAGAGCTAGCAAACTGCCCCCCCCCGGGGGGGGGTTCTTGCTCAAGAGCCAGCTGAGCCCATAGCCAGCTCCCCCGCTTCTGCCATCTGGGGCAGCACCGCAGGCAAGCAAATGGCCTAGCCAGGCAGGTCCTGTGGGCAAACAATCAGGGAACTAGAAAATCCCGACACTTTCTTCGCCTCTCGAGAGTGTCAACGTTCAAACCTATAGAGAATTTTTATGAGTTTCTTTGGGCCAAAATGACAATTGCCAGGAAGCAAAATCTCAACAGATGGTGAAAATGCTCCAGAAAATGGCAGTTTTACCACTTGTTTATACATCAGAATCAAAGGAGAAGACGGAAGGGGTTCCATGAAATCCCCTGGGGGTTAGGGGGGCAGGAGACAG